CTCTTTTAGAGCCATTTAAATGCCTAATCCTCTGTTGCTATAACTGCAAACTTTTGAACAATGCTTCCAACTCTACCTCTATGAACATTGAGGCTATTTGCTATCTTTTTAAATATTAAACATACTTGCTGCTGCTGAAAATATTCTTTTAGACGATTATTTTGCCAAATAAATATCTATAACAGGCAATGGAAAGTCACACTCCAAATGTTTGAGTTCTTTTGTCTCAAAAACACAATGCTATCAATTAAGTCTGCCTTTCATCACATCTGGTATGTCTGAGACCACACCTGATATACAGATGTTTGCTCTTACATACAGAAGGTTGACTAATAATAGGAATGGAATATTAAAGCATTGTCTTAGGATACAGCTCATGTAAAAAATTTTTAAACAACCTGATAAAACCAATAATCGTAGGATTAGATCGTTAGATTGTTGCTAATGAACACCCTTTGCAATGGGGATTAAAACACTAGCTGTAACTGCATGCTGTGGATCGTGCATTTAAAGCTTTATAGTGCAACCCAACATTTTGAAATTGTCCCTGAAGTTGATGGGAATCTGAAGTAGTTGTTATGTGACTGTGAAACAAGGGAGACTTAGTCAGAGACCTTGAAAGAGCTATCTAAACAACCTGACTAGCTTTGTTGATTTAACAATGAATTGCAATGATCTAGACAAAAAAATAAAAGCTGCTTCAGTTTCCTTAAATTGGAGAAGGCTCTCAGATGTATAGCTAGTGATTACTTTTTTAGCAGCTGTTCAACATCTGTAAAACATTCAGCATTTATATATATTAAGTATAATAACTAAATATCATCTGAGGTAGATGGATAGCAGATTTCCTTAAATATGCTCAAAATGTCTGTCTTCAGACTACCATTTGTCGTTCTGTGGACTGAACCTGGATCTGCCTTCGTCAGGTTGAATCTGATCTCCTGTCAGCTCTGCAGCCTTGTAGGCTTCCATGTCTGGAACTCTCTGGCAGAGTCTGCTGCGTCTGTTCAGTTGACTGGCTGGAATCATCCCCGTTCTCTGAGCAGGGACTGAACTGTCAAACCAGATTAGTGACTCATCATCCGTCAGATTATGGCAGTCACTAACCTGTGTTTCTCTCCAATAGACATTCCTGCTTTAGATGCCCTAGCCGCTGTAGCCACTGCAGAATCTGTCTTTGCTTGAATAAAGGCCTTTTAAGTTATCCACTGTCCGTCTTGCCAGAATTCGGGGTCCTACCTTCTGAGTCATTATAACCTTTGTTGCATAAATATTTGCAAAATCTGTACTTCAGATGGTGGAGAAAGATAAGCAATTTTGACACATTTCAATGCATTTGGTTTAAGGATTTTATGCCATAGACCCTGAAACAAACCAAAAAAAGGACTTAAGCATAAACAAGGTTTACAACTAACCTTTTATTATAAAACTACAAAAGGTTTCCAGTAGACACAAATGTATGAGGGGGTTGGAAAAATGAAATTAGTATTAATATCACCTGCTTTGATTGGAATGATAAACCTCAGATGTGCAAAGAACCCACTGTCTGCCAAGCCTACGCGCACACCCCCACATGCACAGCAGGAGAAGAAGAGGAAGGAAAAAACATGGAGAGGAGGCAGAGAGGGGAAGCCTGCAGACTGATTCAGATGATGTACATATTGAAATATTAGACGTTTTTGTAACACAGCAAAAATAACAAAACTTCATTGCTAAAGAGAAAAATAGATGTTAAAGGTTCAGGGATACAAAGATTTAAATAAGGGAAATGCCTTAAATAAATGTAAATGTATTTAAAACAAGATAGGAGAAATCCTTTGATCTGCATAACCATAATGAAAACAAGACCCGTCGGCAGAGGGAGAGGAGCGTGACTTCTCAAATATTTGTCCATGATGGCTCCAAGCTTTTATGATAAAAATAACATTTTATCAATGAACAGTTGTAATGTTATTAACACAGATTTTCAGAGAGTGAAATGGCTTTCTGCATTATGTGTTATTCAGAGCTCCTGTTTTTAAATTTGAGTCATTGCTTTATACAGAATATTTTTGACTATGATAATAAGATGCTTTTGGAAACAAAGAGTCATGCAAACCCTAACCATGTGGTACATTTAAAAGTTTCACTGCAGTCTTATTTTCAACAATCTTAAAGTGTGAAATCTAGCCATCTATTTGAATGCAAATCTTCCCCCAAAATGGGCTGAATGTCTCTCTAAAGTAATCAGACTGAAGAGCAGACAGAAAATCACTGGATAGAGATCAGGTATGTAGTTATGCTGTGATAGGTGTCTAATACCCTCTGCCCAATTAACTTAGATTCTGGATTGTAGCTGCTTGGTAGTGCTGATGCCTGTGTAAAAGCTATAGGCCTACGTGTGCATCACCTTGAGGGCCGGACATAATGCATTTACGTCGGTCCAACATCCCGACGGTCAATTTGAAAAAAGAGGAATTGGCCTTAAAAAGGAGATTTTTTGATGCATTTTGTATCTCCAGATGGTTTCACTAAATATTAACCCAAAAAGTAAACACTTTTTAGCAACATTATCTTCCCCTCTAATCTGAATCGGGTGACGTTACAGATAAACAAACCTTAAACTCTGAGCCACATCTGAATCAGAGCAGGATCATAGAAAGTAGAGATATAGTCTATAATCTTCAAACATAATCCTGTGGGTTTTACATTTTTGTTTTTAATTTGGTTTTTACTCTTGCCTTTCTTCATTGCTCTATCATGGTGTTTACTGATTATTGTGAGCCTGCCATCACTTCCTTATCATTCTCCAATGTTAATTTTCTTTGTTAGTAATTGTATTATTCTTCGCTTTACTTTTAATAACTTTTATTTAACCAGGTTTGTTTAAATTCCATCAAAGTATCTCTTTTGCAAGAAAGAGGTGGCCAACAGGTTCCCAGAGACATTTTCAAATTTATCACGTCGTATTAGCTGTGCTGAGTGCTCAAGTATAGCAAGATTTATGTTAAGTTTTAATTTCAGTAAACAAGCCAACAATTTTTTTTAATAGCTTCCCACTAGATGCTGCTATTTTCCCACAATTGAAAGTGTCCAGCAACATTTCTCCCTTCTTACTACTTTCTGTAATTGTGAGTTGCTGAAATAAGCATATGCCACAGCTGATGTTGGATAGCAAGTTAATTAAAAAATTAAAAAAGTAATATTCTTGCTTTTAAGTGAGATATTATTAGTTAAAGGTTGTGGTCCAGGAGTTTTATTTGTTTTGCTACCTACTTATATCTTATTTTTATCTTTACTTGCCTCTATTTTCCTTCTATTTTATTTTTTAATTCAAAGTAAAGCATTTTTATTTGTCTTTGTACTGAATTGTGCTATATAAATACTTGCTGTGCTTTTGTGAAATAAATTTTATGGCACTAATTTTATTGTATAGATGCCCCTGTGTCTGTTTGGATGCTGACAATGTTTCTCATCCTATAATGGTATTTATTGTACAGTCTTTTAAATCTAAACTTTTTCTATTTTAAGTATTTGCTGGATTGAAGACTCAAACAGACTCAAGCCGCCTCTGGTAAAGCGATGAACCCACTGATCCCAAACCAGGAAAAGTTTACCTTCCTTTCCGTGAGGATGGTCACATTAGAGGGTAAAATACAAAACATTTAAACACATTCTGCAATATTAAAACAAATATTTATAAGTTATATTGTTTTAAATGTACACACTCTATAAAGTAGTATAGTAAAGAAACATCATTGATCCTTTTTCTGCAATGCTGCAAACAGCACCAGAGCCACTAGAGGCTGCAATATCTTCACAAATCAGAGAGCAATGCAACTCTTCTGCTTTTTCTGAGTAAAGCTGCCCATTTTACAGAATTTTCTTCATAAATGTGCAAATAATGGACACATTATAAGCAATTATGAACAAATAAAAGAGAATGTGTACGTTTTACAGTGTGTAAAATGTGCATTTGGAGAAAGTTGCCCTTTGAATTAAGATATTTTCTTGACTGTCCTTAATATTGATAATAGCCACTAAATGTTTTAATCTTCTTGTGCTTCTCGAAATTCTATCGTATCTAATAAATTGTCGATGACAGGAATATGCAAAACAGAAAATTGTTCAACTTTAAGTCAGTTAATTGGATTCTTCTTGGCTAAACAAATGAGCATTAAAAAAAACTCTAAATGAATGGTAAACAGATAAATATGAGGTGATATTTTATTTGTCCATATTTGAAGTATACATTTTTTTTTAAAGAGCTGCATACATTTTGCTACATATGTGCAAAAGAGTAGGCCTACATGGTAAAAATGTAGGTCATATGCAGATAAGTCGCCCCATTGACGGTGTGACTCTTTTCCCCGCCAGCCGGAGGGGGAATGGACATGTGAGGGGTCTCCTTTGTTCCGCGTTTAGTCTCCTCCGTGGCCCCTGGAAAACCATTAAACGACTAGGACTTCTCCCAGGAGCCAGGCGGCATTCCACGGATTCCTCTGGTCTGATGTCAGAGCAAAGGGGAGGGGGCACAGGATGCGTTCACGGACCGCAGCGATTGTGAAGAAAGATGCAAACGTCTCAAGCGTGTCTCCCTGCGGGACAATTTAGGCAGCAGGGCTAGATTTTGTTAAGAGCGACAGAGCTTCAAAATGTTTTGTTCTTTTTAATTAACTTAATGTTTATATTATGTTGCTACTTTCAAGAATATTATCTATCTATCTATCTATCTATCTATCTATCTATCTATCTATCTATCTATCTATCTATCTATCTATCTATCTATCTATCTGTCTGTCTGTCTGTCTGTCTGTCTGTCTGTCTGTCTGTCTGTCTGTCTGTCTATATATATATATATATATATATATAAATCTGGTTTATAGATTTATTTATTTATTTTTAACACACACACACACTCGCACACAGACTGCTTGGTAGGCTAGATCTTATTTTTCCCGTTTTTTTCAGCAGTTATTGAACGCAACATATGCTCCTCTCCCCGTCACTCCTGGGCTCCTCCATTGGAACAGAGGGGCCAGTGCCATAAACATACAGACAATCCCACCGAGAGACGAACAGAAACCACGTCGCTTATGCAAACTGCAGAAGCTTTGCAGACATTTCAGGCTATTCCTTTTCTTTTCCACTCAATAATAACCAAATTCAAACAGTCACCAAACGGGGTGCAGCAGCTTCTTCAATCTCGGTTGCCTTTTCGACGTGTTTTTTTGTTTCCAATGTCGCGTTCATGTGATTTGCTGGAAAAACTTTGAGTCTGAAGTCACTGATTTCACTGTATGCGGATTACCTGGGCCGAAGAGGAGTTTCTACCCCTGAAAACGGAGAACGGGATGTAGCGCAGGAAAAACGGTGAGTTTTTCACTTGGAGAACTTTTTCTCTGCTTCTAATAAGTTCAAACTTGTTCAGAATCTTCTTGAAGTAGGCCAAATACCTTGGGCAAAAACTGGATCTAAAATTCTTTAATGCCAAACCCCCGTGTGCCACATTAAAAGGCTTTAAATTATACACAAACTAAAGGATCTAAAGGAGATCCCTTTTCTATTATAGAGTAAAAAGATGGGATCCAGATTAGAGAGAACTTGGACGCTTCACTGCGCCTATGCGCAGATTTGCTGTGCGTATTTTGGATCTTACCAAACCCAGTTTCAAAACACCTGAATTAGATATTTCAGTCCACGCAGCGTGATCAGCACTCCGTGATTCTAAAACCCACACAATGTGAAGGATGTGTTTGGACACGCAGCTCTGGAGCGCACAGAGAGCTGCTGCTGCAGGCATCGGCTGCGCACACTTACGCACACACATCTGGCTATCTTTAAAAGCTCAAGAGGCCTGCTGTGTAAATTACATGGTGCAAGTGACTTGGGAGTACACCCTGCTGGGGAATTTAAAGCACCAGAACTTATTAGAGCTGCAGCCTTCACCCAAACTTCCTGTTTTAGAGGTATTTTTGTCAAGTTGTAAGAAAAGGAAAGTCGCATATAGTCCCAGAGGCATGTTTTTGTTGAAGGTTAGCTGGGTAAGACTATAATGGGTGTTTACCACATAATGTGCGCCTGCATTTAGACAAAAAAAAGTGGCTATTGTTTACGCTGCCAGTGGTCATTTGAGTCTAAAGGCCATTTGATTACTATATGAGGTCAAACAGAGCTGTAATTATGGTCAGCTGCTCTATGCTGTAGCCCACCACAGGAAGAGAGAGCGGGAAAAATGAAAATAGGCTGCTATGGTCATTGTTTTTGTTTTCAGTTCTTTTTATGTCTAAGCCTAAATAAAAAAAAACAATAAAAAAAACACATGCAGCATCTGATCTGAATATATAACATGTGAATCTGATTAAATCTCTTCCCTAAAGACAAATAATTTGAATTGCACATGAAATCCAATGATTATTTAATTTACTTCATAATTAATTGACTCCATATCCTCCAAAATCCAAAAATGTACTTTTTTCATGTATCTTCTACTATTATAATGTCCATAGCTGTATATTTGTTATTTATTCCTTGGGTTACTGCACAGTGTTTATTTTTTGTAGTATTTTGTTTGTTTGTTTTTAAAAACCCAACTTTACTGTAATGCTTTTACTGCTGTAAAACCACATTTTCCCCCATATGGGACAATAAAGGGATTTTCTATTCTATTCTAGTCAATTCTATTCAATGCTAAAATCCTGACAATATATTTTAATTTATTTCACTATCAGCTTTTAAGAAAATATTTTTAATACTAAGAAACTGGCCTAAAATTATCTAAACGTGAAACTTAATTTAAGTCCCTTTTTTTGGGAAAAAAATTGATAAAAAGAGTGGAAATTTGCAAAACAAAAAGTCTAATAAAAAATACATAAAAACAGAAAAATTACGGTAACGAGTTTTTTTTTTTTTGGAAGCAGTCACTTCAACTCAGCACCGATAATTTATTATATGTCATATGAAATTTTGAGCTTTTGATTCATTTTTCAAACTTCTATTTAGTCTTGAAATCAGAGAACTAATTCTTGACAATTTAATTCATATATATATATATATATATATATATATATATATATATATATATATATATATATATATATATATATATATATCCCATTGATCTTTTGTTGACCTGCTTCGAGTCGCACAGAAACACAATGCTGGTTTTCCTCAGATAGAAAACTGTTTGCATAATAAATACTTAATAGAACTGAACTGATTTTATTTTTATAAAGTGCCTTGAGAATAGGTGTTATATATATATAAACTGAATTAAATATACTGATTCTGACAGGCCCTTAGGCCAGCCTTTGTATCAGAATTGGTCGAGTCCATTTAAAGCAGCACTAAGTTATTTAAATCTATTTTCTTTTAAGCCCCTGTGGTAGTAATTGAAGTGTTTATGAGACCATTGTGTTGTCTGTCATCTGTCCCTGCTGTATCTGGCCAGAAAACCACAGTGGCAACTTTCTGTGCCGCTGTCTTGCAGCCTGTTCTGTTACAGCAGCCTAATGTTAGGGCATTGCATTCAATAGCCACACCCCCCTTGCTGCACTACTAGCAGATTTATGAGTGAGTAGTGCAGTGAATAATTTTAAGGTTTATGAGACGAGGGCCAGCAAAAAAAAAAAAAAAAAAAGGAAATGAAGAGAAAAAAAGAATGAGATCTGGACAGGGCTGCAAAAAGAGAACATCTCAAACAAATACAGGGATGCAGCAGAATTGATGTAGACCGGGGCAATGTCAGGATTGGACTTGTAAGTACCATATATACTAACCTCTGTAAGTGTAACTATTGTGGGTTTTAGATTGATAGATTTTTAGCATACCACTAAAACACACAGAGAGGCTTAATCTCCTTATGAATGCAATAAAAAAAACTTGAAAAGATGCTGAATTTGGTATTATGCTTTTGAACATAGTCCATACATTTTCAACAGGATTGAGAAAGAAATTTAAAGTCAGCAAGCTTTAATGACAGGAAACCAATTTGTTCAAGTATCAAAGTTCCAGCTGACCTGTGTTGAATTTAAGAATCTTCCTCCTCAAGTTTCCCAAGCATAGAGGGATGAAAGCTTTGAATCCTTATTCTTATCATAGCCTGTTAACTTATATTGTAGCTCTTCTGAACATAGAACGTTTCTGTGTAATACATTTTATTTGTGTATGTGGTATTCCTGCATGTTTCAGTCAAGCGGCAAAGTTTCCCTTTTTTGAAGAAGGACCTTCCTTCTTTGTTTCTGGGTTGGTCTGAAACATCCTGACCTATTTTCCATTATTGGTGGTGACTTTTGGGCGTGATGGTTTAAATTAGACACAGCGAGAAAGGTTTCTCATGCAAGAAGAGTGGTCAGCTGTCTTTTAAACCTGTGCACACAATTATGCCTTTAGAGCCTGAAAAGATAGCATTCATAATCATGTTCAGTGCCAGTGTTTTTTTTGTTTTGTTTTTTAATAATGCAAGGTAGCTGAATGCAATCTGCTTTTAATTAGAAGTTGCAGCCTGTGCTTGGATTGGTGCGTCATAGGGATACTTGTGTTACACACTCTGTAAGTTATGGGCTGTCGTGCAGTGTTGTGAAAAACAGTATGGTGGAGCGCGTGCAGCGACCTGCCCGAATCTCCCACACTCCTCCAGGTGTTTCATACGAGTTGTCAGACACAGCTGCTGGGCCCCATCTCCTTCTTTAGATCTGATCTCCACCTTCCGCCCAATCAGCGATGTGACTTCAGCAAAGTAACCAACAGATGGTATTTTATGAGCATTTAAAAAGAAAAAAAGAAATTTCCACTTGATCTCCTATTAAGGAAGAAATGTGACGTTTCTGGCCTTTGTAGTAAGCGAAGTTCAGCCGGATGTAGACAGTAGCAAAACTGTAGAGCTGCTGCTTTCATAGACCTCTAAAATCAGATGTTGGTGTCTGGGGGCTTGGCGTTCAGAAGTTGCTGTGTGTGTTGGGAATAATGTGGGGTGACTGTGATGTGGTTCCCAGAAGGGGGGACGGGGTGGCGGGGATGGAAAATGTGAAGAGCATGGTGGTTTCTGCTGCGGCAGCCATGATAACTGCCACACTGATGATAGTTTTAGGTCTGTGCTCCTATCAGCCTGACTGTCCATGTTTACTCTCCGCTCTCCTCCACCCACTGCTCACCAACTGTACCAACATGATAAGGCCTTTGTCACATCCTTTCTGCTTCCAGCTTATCTAAAATCTCTGTTTTCTCACTGAGGAGCTGGGAATCACTGATACTTCGCATTTACACCACCCCCCCCAAAACCTTTATTTCTCCTCTCTTTGTGTTCAAGTAGGGCTGCAAACTAGCGATTAATTTTGTTCGATTAGTAATCGGATAGCCAAAGATTCCTTAAAGAAAATGTTTACTAAATTAAACCAGGTGAAGCTAAAACTTTTCTACTCGAGGAGTTCTGGATAGATCATGTTGACAGAAGAAAAGCTTTTTTTTTTGAATGTCTTGAATGCAAAATGTTTACGTATTTTTTTTTACAATTGTTATATAATTACTGATGAGTATGAGGATCAACACCTCCAAATGCGAGGCCATGGTTCTCCACTGGAAAAAGGTGGACTCCCCTCTTCAGGTCGGTGGAGAGCCCTTGTCTCCAGTGGAGGAGTTCAAACATCTCAGGGTCTTGTTCATGCGTGAGGGATGGTTGGAACGTGAGATCGATGGTTGGATTGGTGCGGCGTCGGCAGTGATGCGGTGGCTGTGTAGGACCGCCGTGGTGAAGAGGGAGCTGAGTTTGGGGGCAAAGCTCTCCATTTACCGATGGATCTACGTTCCCACCCTCACCTACGGCCATGAGATCTGGGTAATGACCGAAAGGACAAGATCATGAATACGAGCGGCCTAAATGAGTTTCCTTTGCAGGGTGGCTGGGTGCACTCTTCGAGATCAGATGTGGAGCTCAGTTACCTGGGAAGAGCTCAGAGTAGAGTCTTTGCTCCTCCATGTCGAAAGGAGCTGAGGTGGCTCAGGCATCTGTTTCGGTTCTGTTCCTGGTCGCCTCCCTTGGGAGGTGTTCCAGGTATGTCCCATTGGGAGGAGGTGTTGTGGAAGGCCCAGGACACGCTGGATGGACTATCTCTGAGCTGGCCTGGTGTCGAAAATGGATGGATGGATGGATATAATTGCTGCTCTAAGTGGGTCGTTCTGTCAGCTAAAGGCACGTTTAAGAGTCTATATACTCCAGTTAATGATTAATTAATTACTAAATTAGTAGTCAGTAATCGATTAGTCATGATTAATCCAATTAATTATTTCAGCCCTATGTTCAAGTGACAGTGTGTTGGATTTTTCTAGCTGAAGGTTTAACCACTCCTTCAGTTCTCTGTACCTTTTCTTTACATGTG